CGTGCGTGCGTGCGTGCGTGCGTGCGTGCGTGCGTGCGTGCGTGCGTGCGTGCGTGCGTGCGTGCGTGCGTGCGTGCGTGCGTGCGATAGTTACCATTATTCACTTCTCATGGGGGTAGTCATGCTTTGTTTTTCAGTGTATATGTTAAAAATATCTGGAATAAATGTGATGTATCCTATAAGCAAGCAGAAGTACGCAATTAAAGTATTTAAAAATGTATATATGCACTCAGTGGCTACTTTGTAATCTCGCTAGTACCAGCTATGACCCCCTTTTACCTCCAGAACTGCTTTGAGGATGGACATGTGTGTTCAGAGAAGTCTTTCTGCATGCTGTTATTCCACTGAACTGTTGCATTTGTGGCCTTCCTGCCATTACCTTGGCCTATTGACCCAAAAGATTTTCCAGTCCAAAGAAAACAAGTATTAAAACATCCATTCATTCCTACAGCATATCTGATAATAGGCTTGTTGCTCTTTTAACCAGGTAATCCATATGGTTACCAGCCACCGCAGTTCGTCCAAGCCCGCTATATCCGCAATCCTCCACCTCCTGTGGATTCAGGCCTCCCCCCTTACCAGGACCCTTACCAGAGCTACAGTGCCGAGCGTCAGTACTCCAGCACACAGGGCCCCCAGTTCCCTGCAGTGGCACAGCAAGTGTACCCTCCTCACTACGATGGCCGTCGTCATGCTCCCTATGCGGCCCCTCCTCCGCTGCAGCCCTTCCCTGCACATGACGACTTGGTAAGAATCAGTCCTGTTCCTGTTGATGTATCTCTGCAAGCCCCGCTTCCAGCAGCAGCATCCCAGCATCACTCAGAATCTTCTCGGGACCGATTCCCTCCTGAAGGCTACTGCCCTGCCGGTGCTCAACATTCTCAGGCGAGAACCTACTCCAGGGTCAGTGTTACACTGCAAATGAGATATTTTCATAAATCTCAAGTTCCTGTTTGTGTTAGCTTTATACACTATTTTTCTATCCTGTTGTGGCTTTCAGGATTCTTACAGTCGGTCCCAGCATAGTCTGGACTACCTTCACCGTAGACGCAAGGAGATCATGGCCCAGTTGGAGGAGAGAAAGGTCATCTCTCCTCCACCATTTGCTGCCTCACCGACACTGCCCCACACGTTCCCAGCCGAAACCCAGGAGGTGATTGGCCCCCTTCCCCTATTCACTCAGTACTGAAGTAGTAGCATAATTGGGTAAAAACAGAAGGTTTTATTGGCACTGGATGAGAAACATTAATACGTTTACAGAAAATAATACAGTTATGTACCATATTGTGTAAGCAACAGGGCTAACTTTCATTTTAGCAGTGATTTATTTTGCCAAATGGGAGTCGTAGAAAGTAAATTAAGTTAAAGTGATGACAAAGACAGGCTACTCTGAGAGGCTAAATGGTACATATCTATTGCTATCTTCATTTTATTGGGTCAGTCTATAAAACCCAAATGTTGTGTTTTAAGATGTATTTACATTACAGTTGTGCTGTAGTGATCTCTGATTTGCTAAACTGACAGACTGCAGTATCATTCACTTTTAATATGAAGTGCTTCCACACAATTGAGGCTTTCGCCTATATTTGGACCCTCATCCGCTATGCTCCATCTTCCATAAATTATATTGCAGAGATTTCAAGAAGGAAAATGTTAATCAATGCTTTAATAATCATTACTGGTCATTATAAAAAACTCTGAATGATCATATTTTGGCTACGCCCAATGTAGGAAAAGCACGATAACTAAGGTGTTTTTTTTTTTTTTTTAAATCAGCAAAAAAATATTTCTGAGATGTAGATGGTACATGAACATGCCCGAGTTAACAAAAAATGGTGATGCAAAAATGAAATCTGTAATATAGAATGACGCAGTATGACTTTTCATTGTAACTATTTTTGCTTTGGTCAGAACAACTACACTCACAAAACCTGTGCATAAAATAATTATATTCAGCTGCAGTAATACATTTTTGCAAAAAGCTTACTTTTCTTACATGCAAGTCACTATTAATAGTTACTATAGTGTAAAAGATAATGTACACAAAACTTCTTTAAATCTGCGTATACTCTGTAGCATTCTCTACATCTTGTAGCTCTCCTTAAATGTAGTAATATGATTCCCTAAGATCTGCATTTTCCCTCTCCTTTGTGTGTATGAACAGTATATGGAGGATACCACCAAAATCTTTGGGAAGGGAAGAGAGGCCGACTATCTTGGCCAATACTCTCCCTGGTCATGTGACACCTTTGGCTCATACATCAGCTCAAAAGACGTCAAGTCCAAAGATGTCATGTTACCTGGGGCCATGGAAATGATGGTGAATGTCTTAATTACTATTGTTCCAGGATTATCATGTAGTAGTTTGTTGGGCGAGTTATTAAAACAAGTAGTTTTTAGTTTTTATAGGACATATTGGCCATGTAGAAAATGATTTGAGATAGTTCTAGACTTGATGGGGTCCTGTTATGATTGTGGGAAAACTGCCTATTTTGATTTGTTGGTTTCATGAGAACCAGGGAGTATATAATGAAAGCTGACATGATGATCTGTCTTGTATGAAGAACACAGATAGCAAGTGCCTGAGGGAGCCACTCATAGATGTGCAGCGCCGGGCAGCCGACGTTAAAGATGACGACCCCATCATCCCCTTCGGTCCACAGCCCACTGTGTCCCGCTTTGGCGCCATCTCTCGCACCTCTAAAACTGGTTACCAAGCAGCTGGTCCAGTCCAGACTCTGGCCTCTGTGCAGGGCTCTGGCACCAAGCACATCTCTGCTGGAAGTATGTTTGTTGCCATGTCGGGGAATTGTTTGCTTCTTTATAAGATGTTTTTATTTGTTTTGCTGTCATCGCTAATGTATTATATTCCTTACAGAAGTAGCATAAAGGAAGGTTCATTAAATGTCCCACCGCCCATCCCTTTTTTTTTGCCAGCCTCAGCTGAGTACAATGCCTACGGGAATCATGGATGCTGGGGGGGGACAGCTTACGCTCTTCACCAAAACGCCAGTTCTCAGGGACGTTTCAGTGAACGGTATACAAACTGATTCTCTTGTCTGACTTCTGTGGTGGAGGTCTGTTCACTAATCTCTTCTTATGCCTGACACGGTCCCTGTGAATACTGTCTTCCATGCAGGCTATCCATGCCATCTGCTGACAGAGAGCAGCTGAAGATGGAGCTCCAGCAGGTCAATCAGCAGATTAACCAGCAGAGCCAGATCCATGGCATGGTGGTGTGTATGCACATTGGTGTGAATTCATGCAAATACATTAATTGTACAAATATGTCAATATCCACTTTTTCAAAGTTACTAATTTTGTTTTGTGCCTGCCTTTTAAGATGTGTGGGGATATCCTGTTAGCTTGAATACCTAATCTTGTGCTTTTTTTATCAGTCAGATGGATTTTATGTAAAATTTCCTGTGCTATTTTTTTGGATCAACCCCTAAATTCCATCCCACCTCAGGCTGCCAGCAACCCGAAGTTACTGCAGAAGGAGGGAGCTGTGCTGGCCCCCCAGGCGGCACAGGTCAAATGGTCAGTGGGGGTCATGTCCAGTGAGCAGCTTAGCTTGGAGCTTCACCACGTGGAGAGGGAAATCGGCAAAAGAACTATGGAAATTGCCATGGTGAGCTTTGTTGGCACCAGGAAACGGCAAAATGTGGGTTGGGTTCAGATTGACCCTTACATTGCTCTCACTTCAGTTCATAGTTCATCTTGTGACCTACAGCGAATCCATACATACTGATTGAAATGGGTCCTGAATGCAATAAGGCTGCAAAGCAGGGAATGCAAAACCTATGTTCAAAAATTCTCTAAATGAATGGAGAAATGGAGCCCTACTGATCAATCATTTACTCAGTTTGATTTCAGTTCATTTTTATATGGTGCCTTTCACAACAGAGTTAAGGTGCCTTCCATGGGTGTGATGTGATACATTACAATATTGTTACGATAGAATAATATAAAAACAGGGAAAAGGGAAGACAAAAAAATGAAAGAAAGAAAACCAGATCACAATGGAGTAGAAGAACCAAAAACTTAGTGAGACAAAAAAAACCTCTGGGGGTCCAAGGCCAACTGGCTGCCTAACCCCCCTGGGCATGCTAACATTACTGAGAAAGAGTGGGCTTGTTTAATAAAAACAAGGTGTAGAGTGTGATCGAGGTCAAAGCTAAATTACATCAATGTGTCAGATTGAAGTCTGCACCCACAGTGGTAAAGATCGTAAGTCACATCCACAATGTCACCCTTCCATGTAACTGAATCAGGACTCTAGCTCAGATGGTGCCCACCCCAGGCACTGTCCGGATAAATGGGAAGGAAGGCAGAGAGCATGGGTGGTCATAACATGCATAGACGCTTTGATGGACAAGCTTAGTAGATTAAAATGGCATGAACAGTAGCGCCAGCAGCCATAGTTAAAGTGTGTTAAGTTGCGAGTAAGCTAAACCGAAGCATTAAAAATGAGGCCGACTTGGCATTCCCTACATAGGCTGGAAAACCATTCCACAATATGGAGGCCTTATAGCTGTCACTTTGTTCATATGGAATTACAAGGAAACCTGTGTTATGTGAACTGAGTGGGTGATGTGGCTTGTAAACCTGAAGTAATTCTCTTTGGTAGGCAGATGCTAGACCTTTTACTGCCTTATATGCAAGTAGGAGAACTTTGAAGTCAGTCCTGTAGCTAACAGGAAGCCAGTGCAAGGAACTAAGAGCAATCTTCCTGCTCCGGGTGACAATTTGAACTGCTATGCATTGAACATGCTGCAAGGTGTTTAATGTGTGGCGTGTGCTCCCAGATAACAGAGCAGCTCCTCAAAAAAAAAAAAAAGTTCAGCTGCTCAGAGTGATGTACGGAGATTACAGCATTCCTGTCCGCGGACATGCCTTCAAGCAAGAGAACCTTGTTTTTTTGTGCATTTAGGGTGCTTTTCCACCGCACTATTTTTGGTACTTTGAGAGGTACTTCAAGGTGTTGGTTTTTCACTGCTGTAAAAACTGGTACCAGCACTGAGAGGCATACAATTCTGATCTTATCATATCTGTTCTTCCGAACAGATTACAATAATTTTTTTGTTTTTTACTTTATCGTAGGGCTGGGCGATAACACGATAAAGATAATGATCGCAAAATAAATTTTCCTCAATAGAAAAATAGCTATAGTCGATATAAAGTCGATAGCGCTCATTCCGTCAATCTTTTGACTACACGAGAAGCCAATGGGTGCGTTCGACTTGTCCGCAGCTGATGTGACGTGGAGCAAGATCTGCCGGCGGCTGCACGAGTGGAGTATAAACTGACTGCAGCCAAGTCGGACAACTTCTACTCCTCGTAGTGTGCGAGACCTGACTGCAATGGCAGCACTACCAGAAGGGTGTAGATAAATCTATACAAATATCAATACAATAACCAACTCCTGATCCAAACTGTTAGCAGTGAAAACAAATAAACTATTGTGTATAGTGACCCTGTGGAAAAAGATCAAATACATGTATTTCATGGATTCAAAGTTTTTATTATCATGTACAGAGTACAATACAATTCTTACTTGAATGCCTTCTCCACAGACTGGACGATTAAACAAATCAAGCAGCGCAACATTACAATAACTAACAATAAATAAACCACTAACTTACATGTACTATTAGAGCATTTATGTAATTTATTTAAACTTTATTTTACCAGGCAAATGAACTGAAAACCAGTTCACTGCTTTACGTGCTTTTCAGGAGAAATAGCAGATAACGCATTGGAACTGCCTGGGATACTTACGTCATGCATGTGACTAAAATCTTCAGCCAATAAGGGCAAAGTTGTGTCGTCACGGAGGCAGTTCCAGTTTGTGCAGCCGGCTGAGAGGTAGTTTTGAGTAGGGCTGAAGGATACTAGAAAAAGTTCACATTGCGATATTTAGGAATTCAAAATTTACTATAACCAAATAGAACGTATCTACCAACAGAGTCTGTCAAGTTATTGGTGTTGCCCTGAGTAGTGCCATCAGACAGAAAGCATTGCCAACAAAACACTCAGTATTTTCCCAATATTGCCCCTATGGAGTATAAAACATTTCTATATAGTGGAATACAAATATCATTTCGTGACCATTTCTTGTCCACTTTTTTCCTCTTGACTCATTTTTTAATTTCTGACAAACGTGTTGGTTTCCTATGACTAAGTAAAAATGTTTTACCACAAGTTATATATGTTTTAATGCAACTTATTGATGTTTGAACCCAGCATAGCAGTGATGATTAACATTTCTCATTATGTTACCTAATAGCAGCATGTAGTGAGAAAATGATAAAGGATCAAGAACTGATCCCTGTGATGCTCCCTATTTGACTTATCACATTGGTGAAGGAGTACGTTATGCTGTAAGTTCACACTACACGATTTTAGCTCTGATTTTCCAATCATTGGCGGTTTTGGAGATCACTGATAAAACCCCCACATCAGAGACAAATTGGCACTTAATGGCTACACAGTAATGTTATGTTGAGAACCCTTTTGCTGCAGTAACAGCCTTAATTCTTCTGGGGTAAGTATATACCAGTTTTGCATATTGTTCAGAAATTATTCTTCATAGCTCCTCTATGTTGGGACAGCACCCCTGAACAGCATATTTCAAATAGTGGTGCAGATTCTCAATAGTTAAGCATGTATCACGTTTTTATTTTTAATGTTAGTACACAACTGATCTATTTTGGCATTTGAAAATATAATGGAGCAAAAGAGTTCTCAACATAAATGTTGTTTGAGAAAATTGTGCATATATATTTTGTACTCCAGACAATCGCCATGACTTTCAAAGGGGTTGAATACTTTTGCAAGCCACTGTATCACCTTCGGATTTCATGGATTTTTCATTTGGAGTGAGAACACTTTTTTTATTATTTAAATTTTTTTTATGTTTTAATTGTGTGGCTCATAAATATTTTTTTTTATTATTTGTAGGAGAATCATTCACCACGTGAGGTCCACTACAAGCTGAAGCCCACAGAAAACGGTCTTCCAGACCACAAAGTCCAACTGGAAGACCTCTCTCTGGCTCTCACGTGAGAATCCTCTCTCACGTTTATGGGAAATGTATTTCTTAATTTGCCTGCCTAAGGTTATTTGTAACATTAAAATTTTAAAAACAGGAAGTACTATAGCAGAGCAGGTGGAATGCTAGTTATGATCCAAGACAATGCTTAACCTGAATGGCAGTAGAGTAGGTTTTGTAGTTCTAGTGGCCTACAGAATCATCAACACATCTGAAAATCTTCATGAGCAAAGACTAACAATCACATTAATATTTTACCTTTCTCCAGCACATCTTAATGTTTAAAAACATTTAAGTGATGAGACTTTGTGTTTCTCTGGGGTATTCATAACACACAGGCTAAACCCCTTAAGTCATCTATATGGGTAAAACCAGAGAATACACATAATAAATCAGACAAAAAAATTAATCAGTCAATGGTTATAAAAAATTTCCCCCACTATAGTAAAATAATTAAGGTTTAGATAATGAGCTGTGATGATGTGTTTGTTTCTCTCTCTCTCTCTCTCTCTCTCTCTCTCTCTCAATATATCTAGTGAGGCTTCTAATGACTCCAGCATGGCACAGGATAGCAGTGTGGGAAGCAGTATGCTGTCTCTGTCCAGCAAGACTTCTTCCCTCTGCCTTTCTGGAGACTTAGGTGCCAACGGCCCTGATATGCAGAAAAATGGTGTGGTCCACTAGACATGGCTCATCAGATTTACCACCATTATCTATACCTGCACCAAGGGTGTGTGAACTGTAAGCTCATCCTTCCTGTCATATGTATCCATGGCAGCACACAGGATCTGTGTGCCCTCATGGATCAGCCGTTGTACTAAAACATTACAAACTTTACTGAAATTTTAGCATGGATATTTCAGGATGCTTACCCTTTTTCAAGCTGAATGAGACCGTTTTAGGTTTCCAGGTTGTTATGATTTAGTCATAATAAGGGCTATGGCTAAAATGAGAACAGCTTTCAAGATTGACTATTTGATACATTTTATAATTTCAGTTTAAGTGGTTATGAAACGATGTCTGCAATTATTGAGTCTGCTCACTTGCGGTCTTACTGTGGAAGTAGTAGAGAATTCTACTGACTTTGACAGTTGACCGTACATTTTTCTTTTCCTGTGGAAAGATCTTGTTATGACTGAGAACTTGGTAGAAATGCAAAGTTATTCAGTATCATTGTTCTGTGTGCAAACATTACATTCCCAGCTTAGACTGTTTCAACTGAAGGTTACAGACAATCTCAAGTAATTACACTTCAAAGGAAATTGCTGTTCTTAAATGAGAGTCTTGGTGTAATATAGAAACCTTCTAAACCTGGTAATTAGCCCATTTAAGATGTTTGAGCAGGGAAATTGGCAAACTGTGTTGGATTATGGCCCTCCAGTACTGGAATTCGGGATCCCTGGTATAAAGTATTAAAAACTAAACTTTTACTATCGCACTCTCAAGTTCTATGTGACCATCAGTTGAATATGCTTTGGTTGAATTTTTAGGGTTTTCAGATTTTTAGACGTGTACTTGTTTATACAGGCATGTGCACATTTACAAAGATGTGTAACAATGAAGCCATATCTATAGTACATATATCAGTTAGATATATAATTATAAAGAAATATCACTAATGTCCCCTCTTTACTAGAACTTTTTCCCCCATCCTTCAAGACTTCTTTTGCTGAGGTGACTGCTTAAGTTTTGAACACCTTCATTTTCCTTTTTAAAATTTTCTCAGGAGTATGATAAGTCTGGTTTTGGCCTGCATAGGTCAGATTCGTTTTACACCTTATTGATATTGAAAAGAAATTATGGGGACTTATAATGCAAGCATATTATCATATGTCTAGCGTGCTGTTCGTCTTGACCCTTTAGGTAAATAGAGGAGAAGGGACCTGCTGTTTATATTAGCTTGTGAGGAGGGCTCAATTTACAGTACTTGTAATAGCTGAGCATGTCCAGTGTTTATTTTCCATGAAATGAAAAGCTTACACCCAATGCCTAAACTTGACCTTAATCAGCATCAATCAATCTTTTTCCCCTGACGTAATTGGTTGTTGGTTACTTATCAAATTGACAGGTTTTGACAAAGCTTGCCATTATTAATCTGTGCATACTTCCAAAGGTTATGTTTTAGCATGGATTGTAGTATTTTGACTTTGCAAGGGTTCTTTGTGTTGTTTGTATTAGTGGTGGATTTTAGGGTTTTGTTGAAGTGGAGGGAGGACTGTTTGTATGTTGGCTAGCTGCTCCTCTGTTCACCGGTACAGACATTTAACTGAGCGTTACCCATTGTAATGTTAATTTTGTGTTTTGGAAAAGGTGATTACTGCTTACTAAGAGGTCACTTGAGGCATTACACATTAGAGCTCGGCAATATCTAAAAAATAATATGCGTGCGTGGTACCAAGTGGGGCAAATGGAAAAATGTGAAAGCTTGACATAACAAAACTTGTTGAGAGAGAGACTGTGTGTGTGTGGCAGTGCTGATTAGTGGTGGTTTTCAGTTTCTATGGAAAACTATTGATGTGTTGGCCGGATTTAATCATAATTTAAAAACATGTCGCGGACCAAATAAAATCATCTGAAGCAGTAGTTCACAAACTTGCAGTAAGCCTTAGCTGTGTTTCACCATTGCAGTCGACATTTACATACACTGAAACCTCGTTAAGGTACTTAAGAGTTTGAAAAATAACCTTTTTAAACAAAAGAAATCATATGAATAACTGTGTCGGAAACAAACTAAAAGGATAAACTAAAAGCCAGTTCATAGATAATTTTTGTCTTTCTTTAGTGTAACCTAAGCCTACTTCCCCAGCAAATATGATATTTCCAGTTAGTCACAATCAAATATTGCACCGGGCTGCTTGTCTGATATCGTTGATTACTGATAATATCTTCATATTGCCCAGCCTTATCCAATTAACATTGATTTTGGTGTATTGTGTAGAATACTACCTGCTCCTATCAGTGTTTAAGAAACCTACACTGGTATGTCTGAAAAAGGAACAATTCAGTCTAGCATATATTGCACTTGACTTTGGTGGGACAGTATTCCATTTTATTTTGGAATTCAAGCTGTCTGTATGTGCTTATAATGTATGTATACACACATTTAACAGTTACAAAAATGAGCATCTACTTTTTGTCTTTTTACCCTGATCAAAGGATTATGAATAAAAACATAAATCTAATTATTTGTGTTGTTCATCTCAGCTTAGCAAAAAGCTAAATTGTTAAAGATTTAAAGAATGTTTAATAAATTATTCTCTGACAGTGAGGCACCATGCCCAATACAGCCAAAACAGTGTAAGGAGTTGCCCAGTGGCCCAACAACAGAATCCAATTGGACAATCAAAGGCTCTGTATGTGTGTAAGTCCTTCCGAGTGCACTTGGAAAGTTACCCTTTAAAGCAAAATCTAACCAAATCTGACTCCAATTGTATTAAAAAAACGTATTTAGAATCTTTTAGTCATGACATTTCTGTTATTCAGATTACTTCTGGGCTCTCCTTACTAATGCTTAACTTTCATCTGTTCATCTGGTGGAGTTACACTGGATTCGCCTTGGCCGATAAGGTGATCCACAGACGTTACGTAGAGCTCAGTTCAGAGGTTGAGGGGGTCACTATAACTAACACAATATTAGCTTAGACGGCCAGTCAGGCCTGGTGATTCACATAACTCCTCAGAGCCCGTAGTAACTCTGCTTGGGCAGTCGCACAAGGTCCTGGAGAGAAGAGATCTACTGAGAACGTACTGAAGCAAAGTCAGGCAACAGGGGAATAACCATTATTTATAGTACAAGATGACATGCATTCATCTAAGCTAAATATAACTTGTGGCCACAAACTCCTATCCTATATCCATTTGACTCACAAATGTTATAAAGTCAAAAAGGTTACATACTTCAGCTGTGGGTTCACAGAGTAACTGTAAAAAGGATCTGGCTACAGATGCAAACTCATGCAGCAGTGTGTGGGAGCTCTGATTGCTGAGTGTCTCCTAAATAAAGGCTACACATGATGAGTATGCTAAGAACACTTACCATGTGGGAGGTTCTGGCTACAGAATGACCCCTCGATCGTCTCGTGGACCCTTATTTTATATACCAAACCAAGCAATGGGTTTTCTTCGAAGATGGTGATACACCAGTCTCTAACCAGATGTTATGGTTATCCTTTTATCATTATATTGGATTAAGGTTGTGATATTTTTGCGATCCCCTTCAGGGTATACTGATAAGTCCTCAAGCCAATGGTCAATCGGATTGTCAATGGTGAGGTCATTAGGGCCTTTTGTTGACTGGATGGGGAAGCCTTCCAACAAGGCAAGGTTTTTCTAATTTTCTAGGTCTTCATAATATTATGACATATTACTTTAAAACTGATATTATATCAGTCACATTGAGACCATTAAAATGAGACCAAGCACGTGTATCTACATTGATTACATTAACATCAGATAATGCTTTCCTCATTTTGGCTTTCTGTGTGACCATTTGGGAGCAGTAAGGGGGGGGGAGACAGCAGGATGGGTTTATGATTGGCATTCTCTGGGTTGTTTTTTGTTCAGTGGGGGTTGAGGTGAGGTCGCTGTTAGGTTGGTCTGATGGCCTTTTTCCAGCCTCATCAGAGCTGAGTTCACGGTTTCTCCCTGGAAGAAACACAGTGCAGGCCCAAAGAAGTCCAGGGTCACAGAGTCCAGTGTGGCCAGCAGCCTTATGACAGTTACTGTCACCTGAAATGGAAATCCTGTCTGTAATGTTCTGATTTGTAAGCTGAGTGAATGCAAATGGAAGTAGTTTCTCTTCTGTGCCAGATTATTAGCATGCGCTTGGAGAGCTCTGGTCAGTTTGTCAAGTACAATTGTTTTATTTTGTTAACCCCCCCTTTCTCTAACTTCTGTGAAGTTGAACCTCTTTGTGTATTTGAATGTAGTCTTTCTTTCTGGGGTCTCTGAGGAGACAGTGTCAGAGATGTGAACTTGGTTGGTGGCCTGGGCTTTGCATTTTAACACACCCTACTACAACTTTTCCTTTTTATTTCTTCAATCATGTAACTGATTCGAGCTTAAGATTTAATTCACTAGCAGGTGCGCTATTGCTGTGCTGGAATGAAAATGTACAATCCATTAGACTAGAATTGGGGAAAAATAACATTGAGGAGCCACAGCTACATGTTGAATTCCACCATAATATTTTAGGTCAACTAACCCCCAAACTCTTGTTTTGGTTGAGTGAACAAAATGCATGGAATCAATGGGCATTACAGACGTCAGGTCTGAGAACCATTAAACCGGGGTTCACAGAGCCGTAGTTATATCACCAAAATATACAGCTTATAAATGTAAAAGGTAAAAAAAAGACTTTAAAACAATGTTTTTTAAATTATACTAATCAGTCTTGCTTTAGACAGTTATTTAACACATGGATTTCGTAATTGTTAAAACCACTGCTAACTCATATCCTGTGGTTAGCCTTGGCTATATGTTCCACTGAGTTGTCTTTCAGACTAGAAAGTAAAATCCATACTCTGCAAAAGTTTCTTTGATGTTGTCAAGTCCATTGTGGGGTGGGAATTTACTCTTATCCTCACCATACTTTCTGTTGTGTTTGGTAACCATTCACACATTCTAAATGGACGTTAATAGGTTAATGCTTGGAGCTCCCCGAGGTTGTGTTATTACTGACTGTTGTACAGTATCTTCTTTATGGTTCCATATTTAATTGGGAAGCCAAGGGCTAGGACAACCTTCTCCATAGAACATGGTAGCTCAGTATGTAGCGATGTACAGATTCCTATTAATGTGTAAAATGGATGTCTGATTCGGTCTTTCTGAATCCTGTTCTATAGGCCATTTACCAAGGCATATGTAATGGAAAAAGTTTGATTTTCCTGAAATATTGCTTAAGTTCTTGACACGTCATAACTAGCTGATTTTTGTATATATTTGTTGTGGGAGCTGGTGTGTTTGCTTGTGATGCTTATACATTTTCATTAGGAGGGAAGACCATAATCATAAGGACTGCAATGAAACATTTTGGTCTTTCACAGTTAGCCTGCATAGCTTTGAGGGGGCATTTCCTTGGGTGGCTTTCATCTATTGTGACAAAATATTTTGAATTCTGTCTTTTAGCTTTGAGTCCTGTAATACAAATGGCTTAAGAAAAGTTCATACCTTGAGATAGTTGTTCATTTGATTTGCTTGAACCACAAACCAGCATTTCTATTCTGCTGAAAGTTATGCCAGCTCTTCAGCAATTAAGGGTGTTGTGGTTAGTTTTGCCTCTGGTGTGTTGATGTGCGTAATTGGATAAATGGACTTAATTTTTCCATTATTGTAAGTGGCTATAACACGTGATACATTTATCTTTGCCTTGTTGAATTATTGCTTTTGTTGGTGTGTTTGTTATTGACTAGTCAAGGAAGACGAGCAGGGAGGAGGAGAAAAATGAACCTGGGGGTACAGAGAGTACAATTTTGTGTAGCATTATCAGGATAAGCACTAGAAAGTTATACACGCTGTCTTCCCTTCTGACATCTCATTCGCAGGAGTGCTACACTCCTTCCCCTCTCATTTTACTTCAAATGGCTTTCGCATGACTCTTCTCTGAGGATTCAGAAACTAATGTACATTCTTGGTACATTGTATTGCAGGTGTGACTCTTTCTGATATTTGTTTGCATTTATAGGCCAACATTCTGGTCTCTCGAGACAGTCTACAGTATTAAAGCACCAATTTTGGTGCAGTTTCACTAAGTATAATCTGTGTAATATTGGATTTATTATTATCATTGTTGCAGGTATTGTTGTTAATGCTTGGGAAAGAGCTATTTACATTTTAAGCAATCGTCAAGATTGGATATTAAAGAGCCCTGCTGAGACGCACAGATGTAGAGAATGAGAGATTGGTTGCATCTTTAGGATTATATATTTTTTGACATTAACATTAAACAATTAACCTTTAAATTAGCTTTTAATAAACTAGTTGGAAGAACTGCTGGCTGACATCACTGGTAAATGTCAGTTACAAGTAAATTAATTGGCTGGCAGCTAAAAAATAGAACTGCAACTGCCTGTATGAGTTTGGCTTTGTAGAAAATCATTTTGAAAGTCCTTCACATTGCAACTGCTTCTGTTCTTTTTGAGATGACTATGATGTTTGAAGTCCACCTATTAGGTTTCCATTTTTTGAAGAAGTTGCCAGTATAATAGCAAGACAGCTGAAATTTGTACGTTTATATGTACAAATTATATATATATATATATATATATATATATATATATATATATATATGCATGCACTTTTTTTTAAATACACCTGTGTGCAAATTGTTAATTGCTTTATGGTGAACTGCCTCTTTCCCTTTATGGATTTACAGAAGTTCAATCACTGGTCTTCATCCATTGCTGTTAAATTCCATTTATTGATGTGCCTTTCAGCAGGCTCTTAACTTTTTTTTAATGTTTGGGTGCATACACTTGTGTATATATAGTACTGTAATGTGCAACTGCTAATCCACTTGCTCTGAGTCAGCATTTATATTAAATGGTCTCTACAAATCAGTAATGCAAGATCTCTCAACTGGTTGCCCATGCAGAGCCGAGCAACTCTTATCCTTTCTGAGACAAAGGAGTTCAGTGCCAGAATGTGTAACATTTGTGTACCTAACCATTATAAAATGTCTGTTTTCAAACACATAGAAAAAAATGCTTCTTCATACAAGACATTAGTTTGTCTCAATATTTCTCACAGTGTGACTGTTTGCAGAGATGAAACAGGTGAAAATTTTAAAGTCACTATCCAATGTCAGAGAGAATTTTAACCCCCCCCCCCAAGGATTTAACCTCCCTCCATCCCTTAAAAATGTAAAAAAAAAAAAAAAGCATTTAGTAAGCACAGCAGTAATGTCTGACTGACAAATGCACTGGCCCACAGCAATCCTTAAACTGAACATTTCTTTCAAAACGAAGGTATTGCTTTTCCAGTCGAAATCTAATAAAGATGGCATCATTTGACCTTAAGTAGAACTACATTAATTTTACTGTTTAGTGATAGTACTGCTAGTTTTAAATGGGCATTATCCTGAAAATCTTAGCAATTATAAGCAAAACTGAACCAATAATTTCAGTGTTATTGCCCTGGGTGCAAAGCATCTTATATTCACACATTGAACTAATAAATCACACAACATATGCTGTCTGTCGGTGAAAATCGTTGTGATCAACCAGTTGCTTGTTTGTAATTTTAGTGAATTATTGGGAAAAAAATGTGGTGAGATCACTGTGAGTTTGGAGTGTTTACAAAGGAGATATCAGATTGGCCGTTTGCACGCAAATACAAAAAAGTAGGAAAAAGAAACTTTCACACACTAGCAGTAGTTTTACCTTGTAGCTTTAGGATTTTGATGAGTGTTGGTTCTGTGAATATGTGTGCACTAATGGAAATATCTCTTACCTTCTGTCACTTTCCTTGGTCACTTTGAGTGCTCTCAATAACTAGAGTAACTAAATCCATAGAAACAAGATTGGGCTGATGTTGGTATTTTTCTATTTTTTATTAATTTTTTTTAAGTCCTCACTTTGGGAAATGTAATTGCTTTTGATTACTTCCAAGTTGTCTTGTAAAAGAATGTTTAAACTGAGGTACAGATTTAACTTCAAGAAAAAGACATGTTTTTATATTATACTCCATTAAGGAATGTTTAGAATTCTTTCTCCGATGTGGATGTAGCCGTTATGTCTTTTATTTTTTCTTTGTAAAGGAATTCACTGTGTGAAAATTGGTTTGCATTTTGTATTATACAAATCTGCTTTTTGTTTCCTGTAATGGGGGAAATTAACTGGAAGTTTGCAAAAAGAAAAAAAAACCTGTGAAACATTGTAACTTATGTACAACAGTGATTCTTTACTGGCAGGGACTGTGATTAAATAATATTGGCTATTGTTTTGGTGATCTAGGTTGTTTATTCCACACCCCTTTTCCAGTAGTTTCTTGTATAAAAATTATGTCTGTGACACCTATGATTATGATTTTGGGTGAACCAAGACTTCAGCATCATTAACATCCGCCCAGTCAGAGGAGTAGTACATTCAGGCCAGCATCTTGGATAAGCTCTTTGTAACATGCACACATGCATCTCTATCACTGAGGCAAATGAAATTCACTCGATGCATTAACAATACATATGAACCAACTACTAATGCAGTAGGATATGATTCATCCCTATTGTGATGCAGTGCGGTTTGACACGATTTCATTCAACATGATGCGACACGATGCGAAAGTATATGATGTTATGCAATACAATATGGAATCAATCGTAACGTGAAATTATTAGTCACATTTCTAAATAATAAAGGTACAGGGCCTCTTCTAATTATTAATAAATCAGATTGTACCAATGCAAAGACATTGAAAAGAATGGAAACAGTGCATCCCGAGTATATTCCAAATTGTATCTGATGCACGCTGTTTTAATCGGGGCAAGAACATGCCCAATCACTGATGAGAATCGGTGAATCTTACCATCCCTGTTCATGACTGATTAGAAGGTTAATATGTTGCAGGGCACAGCTGCAATGCCTCTGGAGTCATGCATATCAGAGCATGTGAGCGAGGAGCGGAGCGGGCGTAATTTGGTCAGAGCGCGGAGCGTTTTTTTTAAATAAGGCTGGAGCGGTCGCTCTGTCTCGCTCCAATTTCGCTCCGATACTGCTCACACTACGATTCTGAGGCGTGCCCAAATCTACCCAAAATTCATCTGTACAATTATCAAGACTGTTACACAAATTGGCCGAGATGGAATTCGCAAAGTATTTCACAAAGGAAACTGATAAATCATAAAAGTGTACTATTCTTATCAAACGTATAGATGACAATAATGTAGAGCAAGAACAACAATGTGGTGAAACTGTTTCAGTGAGTAAAGATTCACTTTGGAATCACTTTTCTCAGAAACAAAGTTTTATATGGTTGTAGCATATCAAGTCTATAGGCTTTTATACTTTAATTTACTTTATAAAGTAAATATTGGTAATCAAATAAATTTGTTTTGTCATTGTCGGTGTTGAGCTCTAATTCACATTAAGCCGCTCCGCCTTAGTGTGAATTAGAGGAAATTCTCACCGCTACACTCCGCTCACATGCTTTGCTGCATATGTCTTGTCTAAAACTTTGTTGAACCATTTGATTGACTGTTATGCCCTGAATTTTTCAACCACAGGCCTGAAATGCAATGCATTATGTATGTAACAAAGCATGTGAGCGGTGATAATTTCCGCTTCTCGCTCATGAGGCTGTTGCCTCCGCCCGCTCCTTCGCTCTAATTCGCACTAAGCCGCTCCACTCAACACCGCTCCTCGCTCCACTAAAATTTCCTCCCGCTCCAGTCAAATCGCTCCACGCTCGCTCCAATTTAAAAGAAGGACAAATAATCTGCATGCCTAACAAATGTCACCTTAAACCGAAGCCTTATTTCATAAAGAAATATGAGCAACGGCAACATTGCCACTCAGAACAGAAAATATTTATTTTTAAACAAATAGCTAGGCAACAACGGACAGGTATGGCAATGGCATTCCACACAAAAATAGGCTTAAAAATAAAGGAATCAGTGGGCTTAATAGCCTAAAGAATATACAGGCTAAGTATCCATGTTTTAAATTCCTCAATTTTTTTCTGTTGATGCTGCTGCAGCCTCTCTATAAAATAAAATTTCACTGACAGTTTTCCGCTCACATGCTCTGATATGTAACAATTTTACAAAGCAATAATTATAAATATTTTATATCAAAGTACATCTTACTGCTAATTGCTGATAAATACTTGGAGGTAGCCCGGGTTATAATCATGAAACTCTAAGAATTTGTATATACGCCCAGTGTCCACTGTATTAGGTGCACTTGCTTAAACAACCTTGAAATGGCTGCATCTTAATGCAGATTGCAGACAGTCAGGGTCAAGAGGGTTACTGTTTGGCTAAGCATCAGAACAAAAGCATTTTTGAACCTGATGCAATTGTTGGTGACAGGCATGGTGGTTCCAGCATTTCAGAAACCCTCCTTGGGTTTTCATACATGACAAAGTCTAATGCATATACAGAATCCTGCAATAAACAAACGTCCAGTTACAATTCTGTGGGTGAAAACACCTTGAGAGAGGTCAGAGGAAAATGGTCAGACTCATTAAGCAGCTCAATACTAGTGGTATTCCGAAAGGTTTTTTTTTTCTCTATCCTACAAACAGGTCTCAAGGCAAAAGTATAGTAGGTCCTACCCTATACTCAATGAAGTGTCCACTGAGTGTCAAACAAACAAATTCAGTCTACTAAGTCACAAATTGGCAAATGATTCATTTTGTGCTCTGTTAATAGGTGCAGAATGGGTATTCAGTCCAGTTTCTCAGTGAAATTCAGGTCACAGGTGAAAAACCTATACCCTGGAAGTGTATTTCATCTTCAAAATTCATAGTTAAATTAGTTTTTAAGTAATTGGCTTTTTGAGGGGCAGGGGTGAAAAATTTATAGCAAGTCTCTCCTTGTGATTGTTCTACATCAGCGGGATTTTTAATTTGTAAAATATAGGGGAAATGTTCAAATTTTCACATTTATATATTAAATATGATCTTATTGTTAAACAGTGTTTTAGTGTAAATATGTATTATTTAAACAGTGTCCCCTGATCTCATGTCAACACTGTTACCTTCACCATAAAACCCTTGCAAAATAATGGCACATGGCAGAAGTGACAATTTACAAGAAGTTGCATCGTATCTGAACCAGAATGTCAAGAGTTGAAAGACAAGTAAGTTTCTCTCATTTCTAATGTACTATTTTTGATGTTTTTAAAGGTTAACCTGGGGGGGGGGGCAGCATACAACTTCAATACTGTTGCCATTTCTTAACATATAAATCTAATCAATTATTTCTCATAACATAATATCTAAAAAATAATATCATTTCAAAGTAAACCTTTTCACAGTAACAGTGGCCTGTCCTACGAAGCGGGGTTACTGGCTAATCGGGGTAACTTGTTGGATTTAAGGTAGTCTGGGCAAAATGTAAGTGAGCGAATATGAAGTCCATTTAAACTGTGGTACCTTAAATCTGACAAGTTACCCCGATAAGCCAGTAACCCCGCTTCGTAGTACAGGCCACAGGTTTTAATGTGTGTAAACAGGGATGACATAACAGTAGGGTTAAATCAAAATGCTAATCATGGAATTAGTACAGGATTGCTTTTTTACTCAGATTGTTAAAACCCCTGCAAGGAGAGAAGCCATAATCATTCTTGTTTTCTCTAATAACCAGTCAAAAACAAAAATATACACTGTTAGGAAGGCAAACTTTAATGCTATGAGACTGAAACTAGAAACAGGAGCAAAGGAGACTAAGGGGGGGGGGCATGATACAAGTGTATAAGATTATAATAGGTCTGGATACCGTTCAACTAAATTGTTATTTTAAATACACGATAGTTAAAATGCACGATAATTTCTTCTCATATCTGCGCAAATACAAGAACTTTACACAGCATATAGTTGGAGTATGGAATAGTGTTCCTGTCATTATAGTGCAAGCTAAAACCTTGGGCTCCTTTAAATCAGAGCTAGATAAGATTTTAACAACTCTGCACTATTATCGTTTGTGGATTTCATATGATCCAAAACGCTCATCTTCAACGCATGCATGATAAATGCATATGCAACTAAAATTAAAAAAAAAAAATGTAATATGCTTCACTGATACAACAATGCTAATCAAGTGCAAACCAATATTGGATAACTTCAGATGTAAAACTGCATAGTAGTGTCCAGCAGTTTTTTCTTAACTGACACGTGATTGATATCCAAAATTAGGGTGCTCTTAATCATCTTCATGAAAAAGTGAAATATTGGGGAAAAAATCCAAAAATTTGAAAATATTGTCAGTGACAATCAGGACTAAAATATTGTTCATGTATGTGCGATATATTAAATTTTTATAATTAGAAATACAGAACATAGTAATGCCTGTGTCTGTAACAGGGTTGACAAAACTATTAAAACTTTCATAAAATATTCAATTACAGTCTGACATGGCACACATTTCTTGTAATTTTAAATGTCTTTGCTGCCTGGCCATTTAAAAGCTAGTTATTTAAATTATTTTAAATTTAAAAGGCATCGATTTCGTGGAATGACCCCTTCACAGTTTAGGTCACTGCAAGGACATGGTGCAGAGCATCACATTTTCTCCTCTAGAAGGGCACTTCATAATGGCACCCTTTACCATTGGGAGGGTACTCATATGGACCGTTTAGACCATTTTAAGGGATCCTTATGGGGCACTGCATCACATTCTCTGCACTAGAAGGCCTCATTAAGACACTTCATCACATTTTTTTGCTCTATATGACACACAATTTCACATGAAGGGGGCACCCTAGACGACACATAATCATGTGAAGGATTGCCAACAGCAATGTTTTTGCCAGTCTAAAGGGCAACTGAGCACTGTTTTTTCAGACACGGGGGTAGTTGCCCCACCGCTTCCCCCTTGAATACACCATTGATTGGCTACACTCCCCAAACACAGTTCTATAAATAGCAAAGAACAGGACAATTTCAAAATTACAAGACTGAGTTTTATGTATTTTATTTTATACTCAGTGTTTGAAGAAGTAATAAAATGAACTAATTTTTTTAAAGGAACACAGTATTCTTACACTTTGTTTTCAGCACCAGTAGGGTTATTACACAACTTTAATGATAAACAAAATATGTTTTAAAGGCTTGGTACAAGCATTAGGAAAAATCTGCATATTAGATAAGGTTGATTTCTTCTGCCCCTTTAACCACATGCATGACTCATGAATTCACTGTTTTGATAACATTTTAACCACATAAACAGAATATATTGATTTTGCTGTAGAGTGTATTCTCCAATCCCACCTGAATCTAGAGGA